CCAGGGCTGGGGGCAGGTGTGGGAATGAGGCTGTCTCCCTCTCCTCCCACTCCCCTCCCTTCAGCCCTGAGCAGGTACAGTGGGGAGTTGCTCAGACAAATCAGAGCACGGGGTGGGGCCCGTTCCTGTCTGGCCCCATGGATCTCCCCAGGGGAACCTTCCAGAATTCCAGGCTGGTGTCTGAAGGCTGAGTCTCTGCCCTAGGAAAGCTCTGCCTGGCCAGGACGCCACCCTGTAGCCTGGGAATCTCTCCCTGCCATGCAGTTTGGGGGGCTGCTGGGTACAGTGACCTAGGCCTGATCTGGGCCCTGATCTGGGTCCGTGTTTCTTCCAGGCCCCCAGGAGGCCCCAAGTTTCCAGCTTGCACTGAGAAACCTGAAAGGAGTTGGGGCGTCCCCAGCTGTCCCCAAAGGGGGCAGAGCGCCTCCCGTGTGCTATCGGCACAGGTGGCTGAGGCCAACCCCCAGTGGACTCCAAATGAGTGTCTGGGGCAAAACCGAACCTTTGTTATATGGGATGTTTTTTTGAGCCCTAAATTGAGTGACTCCAAGTCTGGATTCTGTGCTAGTAGGTGGCAGCCGCCCCAGAATTTTACCAAATCTGCTTTAAAGGTTCATTTGTGGCATTAGAAAGGGACCCCCAGTTACAGGGGCTGGGGTGTCGCTGCTGGAGTCTCAGCCTCTAGCCACCGCCTCGGTTGATGGAATGCTGTTTCCAAAGTGGGCACTTCGTCACTTACTAAATTACATTTCCCTGTGTCATTTGTTATTGTCGCTTATGAGCATAAAATAGTGTTATTTAAGTAAAATTAAAGTCTGGCCTTCAAACAGCTTCCAAATTAACCAACAGATATGTGCTGGGCACCAAATGGATTTAAGAGCAAGCCAAATGTGAAATTTTACCAAAAGCAAAACTCCTGTTAGACTTTATCATCTCAACTGAGGTTAAAATAGAAATTCCTTCATAATATCCCATTTATCTTCCAATTTCCAACAGCTGCGCCTGAGAGATGCGTTTCCAGGTTACTTGGGTAAAGAGGGGAAAATGTTGATTTCACTTCCTTCCCACAGGGCCTGTGCCCTCCACACAGAGAAAGTGCCAGTTTTTATGCAGCAAGCAGAGTATTGGCTCCCCAGAGACCAGTAAACAGAGAACTATCAACTAATCCAACCTATAACCAGCAGCATGCAAATCCTAAATAAATTATTAGCAAACAGAACCCACCAGTGTGTTAACAGGATTATGTGCCGTGACTAATTTTTTTCCAGCAAAGGTAACATGGCTGTATTGATATAAATCACCACTTAATAGATCAAAAGATAAAAATCTTATGATCCCTATAGATTCTGACAAACACTGGAGGAAATTTAACATCCACTCTCTGTTTTTAAAATGCTCCTAGTGAAATAGAAGTTGAATACATTTACATTATACACGGTCTCCCTGCACCTGGAGGCCAGTGTCTCGGGAAACAGCAGGCG